AATAGAATGGCTAGCTCTGTCACATCGATATCTATAGTCTCTAATTCTGATTTCATAAACCAAAACGTCAATGTTTTGTTACCTAACCGCCAACTTCCTTTTCAACCATTCGAAATTCCTCAGAGAGCTCTGTCCAACACATAGCTTCTTCCTATCGCTGACTTCGGTTTATATACACCGTTCACGGTAGCTCAGTCGGTAGAACGCTCGCTCCGTGATTTGGAGGTCGTGAGTTCGTATCTCGGCCGCGACTGACCTAGTCGTTAAAATGGGTAGCATCTGTTCCTTCACCATGCGCTCGGCACTTTGACGTGAAAGTTGCGGGTCCTTTGGATGAGACCTTAAAAATCGAGGCCCCGTGTTAGCGGCAGGCGTTGGCACGATAAAGATCCCTCACTGCTCAATGGCCATGAGTGCCGAATGAGGTCAAAATTTGAAGCCTTTCACCGGTGACGTCTCCATATGAGTGAAAAATTCTCGAGAGGGACGTTAAACAATACACAATCAATCAATCGGTTTTTATACAGTTACAGTTCACAGCTAGTGTCTTAAGACTGGCGGAAATACTCACCATATCCACTTTCAATAACTGCGTTTTTTAACATAAACCCAGACATCTAAACAAAACTGTCATTTCGAGAATTTGAAGCGTGGTTTCGCCTGTTTACTTCTCGCGGAAGGATGTGAGAAAGCGTTTTACAAACAACACGTTTTTTATTTAATATTAGGTTTAACTATTTTAGGGCAAATTGTTAGTATTTCTCATCAATGTTATCTTGTTTTTGCTTTTCTCATAAAATTTCAATCAAAAGTATGGTGGAATATTTCTGCCCCCTTAATGCAGATAAGTTTTGTTAACATGCAACAAAATTATGTAGACATCCGACATATTTATGTCAACATGCACGTTAATTATGTTGACATGCAAGTTAACAATCTTTTAAGAAAATATAATTTACATATGGGAATATCTACTAACTTACGCATGTTTATGACATATAACATACAACATAATTATATCAACATGCAAGATACTAATGTAAACATGCAAGATAATTATATAAATATGCAAGATATGTAGGTTGATATGACTTATTACCTTGCATGTTGACATAACTTGTATTTAAAAATGAAACTCGCATGTTGACAAAACTAAAACGCATGTTGACATGGATAAGTAGCATGTTAGCATAATTACCTTGCATGTTCACGTAAATAATTTGCATGTCTACTAATTAACTCGCATGTTGACAAACATATCTTGCATGAATACATAATTATCTTGCATGCTCACATAAGTAAACTACATTTTGTCAAAATAATGTTGCATCTCGCATCTTAGATGTCCGATACGGGCTTTTATACGTGGTTTTAATCGTATTTAAAATCATATTCTCAATACTTGTTGAAATAACGAAATATACCTTACTATGTACTTAATTAAGTTTTGTCCTATCAATAGACAATCACCTAATAAAGACATGTATGTGTACTGAATGGAGGTCATAAACAAATTTCAATATCGCAGGGGCATACCCTAGTTGAAATAAAAAAAATATATATTGTTTTTTTCATACTTTGTACTTCCTAGAAAGTGTTGCTGCTTTAAATAAAATTCGCTTTTTATCAGTAAAAATATCATGTAAATAGACTCATGTCGAAATTTGTTTGCCAAGTATTTTGTGAACTTATATAAGGTCACGCTTTCGATTTAAAGAAAGCAGGAGCGCTTTTCCTTTATCTATTTGCAGAACTTTGTTAAGATCTTTGAATTATATTCCCTTATATAATGGAAGTTGGTCGGTACATGATCAAATCTTCTGAGAAGGCCTTCGGCTTTCACAGGATTTGATCACGTGACCGACCCACTTCAATTCCCATTGAAGTTTATAAACTTGTTATTTATTTCTTTAAACATGTTGCGTACTGAGAAACCCTTTGGGCTTCACAGGATTTGATCACTTGACCAACCAAAAGTTCATATCCAAGAGAACTTTTTCACACTGTTGTTTATTTCTTGAATATTTATTAATGATTTTAACCAATTAGAATGAACAGTGGTCGGAACATTAAAAAAAAATCTCAAGTTTAAGACTTGTGATTACAGGTATGCCATTCGTGAAATTGGGCTTTGAAAGATCTATTTAACTTAAATAAGTTAAATCCTATCATTAAAGGCAAAACTTGTTTACTAGGGTGCCATATCATTTCAACGTTGAAAAACTGACACATATTTCAAGTTTTTATAATGGCATATTGGCCGTTATTGTCACGTCTGCACTTATAACTGCAGGTACCAAAAAAAAAAAAACGGAAACAGTTCCAAGGTGGACCCTAAGACAGCTGAGCATCTGGAAATTAAAATAAAGATCATTTTGTTAATGCTTTTGATTACATTTAATTGAAAAGTCCAACTGGGCAGTACTGGTCAGCTGAATATCCGCCACGAGTAAAGTTACCCCCCCCACCCCCCTTAAACCATACATACTAAAACCTCTGACATGGTGAAGCTTTGAGCAAAATTAGTCTGAAAAGACTCATCAATTTGCTACATGTACCTATAGGGCCTGATAAATTACTCCCACCCAAACCCCCCCCCTACCAAAAAAAACCACTGTGAACTCCTCGGTCTGAGTCATCACTCCGTGAACACTTGTGGAAAAACAATGGGAGTCTGCAGCAACAATGTTAATATTGTAGAACACCCCATGGCCATAAAGACAGTGTCACATCATTAATTGAGTGCCTAGTATAGGTCAAAATTTGAAGTCCTTCGCCGTATAAGGTGACGTCTCTATATGAGTGAAAAAAATCTCGAATGGGACGTAAAACAACATACACTCAATCAATCAATCAATCAGTAAATATCAAACTACAATATGGAATTCTTATTTTTTTAAACTTTATTAATTTTGTGAAAAAGGTTGTTTAAAAAGAATAGATACATTTTTTTTATACTATGATGTGTGAAGTATATTGCAATGTAAACCAAAGTCGGTCCCTAAAACAAATTGATTTTTGGTACAAAAAATTATTTTAAAAACTATTTGCTAATTTCTGTATCCGAGTTTATACACATTTATAATCATGTTAGGAATAAGACAAAATTGTGAATTGAGTAAGATTTTGCGTAAATGATATTGAAACATCTTTTAAAAAAAAGAAAAAAAAAGAAACAAAAAAGAAGGTTAGTTTAAAGATTTGACATAGAATGCATAGACGTGGTTTAATGAAAGTTTGTACATAAGGCACCTAAAAGCTGCAGCTTAATGGTGGATTCAAGGAATAATTTCTATAAGCCACCATTAAGTCGCCATTAAGCCACGACTAAGCGATTGCCTTAAGATGGTTTTTCGCTCTTTGAATACATAAAATGTATTCAATTGAATTTTTTCTTCCTTGTTTTAATGAAATAAAGCATTTTTTAAAATTTAAATTCACAAAAATAGACAAAAGAAAAAAATTAAAACATCATTCTCCTAAGAATACCTGGTCGGATTTCCTCCAATATCTGAAAATATACAAAAAATAAAAGGGTTAACGTATTGAAAAAAAAAAGAAATTGAAGAAAATTCAGAAAAATTCAGGAAAAATTCAACGGACGTACGCCATGTTGTGACGTCGTAGAGATCCCCCTTCAATGCAAATGCGTCATGCATCATTTAGATTCCTGTTTACTGTGTATCTATCAAATGTGACGCAATAAGTACATTAAACTAGTAGCTCACTTTCTCCATGTACTGAAAAAGAAAATTCTACGAAAAGGACAATATTTTAAAACATTTTTTCAATATTTCGTATAGACCACAAGCTCTCTATAAACCTCTACCTCTGATCTTGAATATGCAGTTAATAATTATTAATTATAAAACTGTTCATGGGAATTATAAAACATTTTGAGTTTTGATCAAAGTGTGCGTTCATATCGTTTTTTGTAGCTGAAAAACTCATATTAGCCTGTATTTTTTTAAGATTGAAGAGCATTGCAATTTCATTAAACTTGATTTCCAACACCTCGACTTTCAGGTTTTTTTTCAATAGGAAATAAAGGTACAAATTCTCTTCTTTATCGTTATGTTTGAAATGGAACTTAACGTGTTTCTTCCTTAATTGGTGTATTTACACTGCCTTTTTAACGAGACCAAATCTTATTATTTCTGCCCTAGGGATTTTGATAATTTTTTTTATAATTAATTTTAACTATTATATTTATTGTTTTAGGATTTAAAAATCGAATGTTTACCACCCCGATTTCTTAGGGGGCCACCTCAAAAGTTGTCAAACTTTACTATTGGACCCTAGGGGATTTTGTTGGAAAATCGCAAAATTATGACATTTTTTCCATATTTTTTGTACTTTTGCCCTAGGGATTTCTTTTTCATTCAAGTAAATGAAAGTTAATGTAAAAAGTTACCAAATTGTGAAATTTCAAAAAAGTTAAAGTTCACCATCTCGATTGGTATAGGTAGTAGTTACTAAGTTTATTTTTTCGAAGCCAAATACCATTAAAATTGACATATTATGGTACAAATTCATATCTTTGCAGATGAATTATCGTCGCATACAATTTTATTCGGCAAAATAGCAGTTTTTAGATTGCTAGTATGTTTCTTGGGAAGTTATGTCATCAGTTTTTAGTATAATATTCATGGACGTCTTGAACATACAAGCGAGTCATGCGTCATTCTTTAGCGTCATGCATTGCTTACAAAATCCGAATATGGTGACGCTGTTAGAGCTATTCCAACGTTATTTTTCCAATTATTGTCGTAAAATCACATTTCCAGATCAGCAGGAGTTCCAAATAATGTTAACTTTGTACTAAAATTAAAATAATTTCAAAGGTGTACTGTCACACAAATGACTGCATGAAATTAATAAGTTGCGCAGTGTGAATTAGACTCGGCCTCGTTAAGCACAACGTGAACCCAACATTCTAAAAAGTTCAGATAATAAAAATGTAAAGCATAAAACATGTTAAATATTTCCATGTTCTACAGAACAATGGAAACCACACAGATTCAGACAATTTAGCATAGAAGTATCCAATGCTAGTTCATGGGATTGGCACCGATGTTACAAAGACAATACAACTCATCCTCAGGACCCTTCAAGCAAACAGAACATTTCATGTGAAAACAGAGGCAGATATCTCAGAATATTTACGATGTATGACGCCCCTGAAGATGATAACTACCCGGATTTCTTAACCGAGAGCGCTATACTTGAAATTTGTGAAATTGAACCTTACGGTAGGAAAATGATTTGTTTGATTTGTTCAACCCAAGTATCTCTCTCTCCTTCTCTCTTATTTGTATATTATAGTTATTTTAGGTCAGAAAAGAGAAAAAGATGCAACACTTTAAAATAACCATTGAGACGAACAATGAAAATTGTCATTTGGGGGGGGGGGCAGCCTTTTGTTCCTAGGACAGACAAAAGTTCAAAATGTTATGAAAGAACAAAGTAAACCAATCTTCCACAACCACTTAGCTACCAAGCTAATTTATTTACACATATTACTAATAAATGTGACAGGAACCCGGACCATAACGAGGCATGTTTGGTCATTGTAGTATTCTAGGATGATACGTGATTTACATTAAGGACACAATTAGTTATCACTACACGTATTTATTGTGTGGTATATAATCGTGCACCTTTTATTTCTTCTCACAGAAAACTAATCCATGATAATATAGACACTGAATTGAAATACATTTAATTAAGATTATTGTAGGAGTAAGAAGAATTGGCTAAATATATAATGTGAAAATAATGTATGATGTAAAAATAGTATGCGTGAATGATTCGTTTGTGAAACACATAAATTTGTCATTATTTCATCATAAAATGAACAATATGGAGATAAGAACTATTTCAGAAACTTCATTATTTTTTTTGTGCCCCTGTATTGTGTATTTTTTATTTATTTTTTTTTGAAAAAATACTCACCGGCTTCAAATTTATGCTTGTATAATTTCGACAGACATAGGCGTTTTTATGTTTTCTTTTTATATCTCAGTCTTTGATATTTTTTTTTAATAAAAGAGTGTTCTTATATTATTTTTCGTTGCTGAAAAAAAAACTCATATCAGCATGTAAATATTCTTTTAACATAGTATTTGTTGATTCTTCCTCGAGTGTTCATATTGCTTTTTGCACTCTTTTTTTTTTATAAGATTGAAATATTAACAATACCTACGTCTCTTACTAGCTTTAAAATTATATCAATTACATTTTCGTATATACTCAGATGTATGAAAATATGTTCATAAAATTAAAAAAACAGTGAATTTTATTTTGTTGTTTTATTCAACAGTTGTCCAGTGTAGTCCACATTGTGTACATAGAACCTGCGATTTTAATGAACACTGTTACAATGATTGCAATGTAGGCTTTTGGGGAAACAAGTGTGACAAAAACTGCCCCTCGCATTGTTAACATACAGAATGCGCTAAAGCTTCAGGAGACTGCACACACTGTAACACTGGTTATTACGGGAACAAATGTGAAAAACGATGTCCGAACTGTTTGCACGAGGCCTGTGACAAAGTGTCTGGAAATTGCACGACTGGGTGTAAATCTGGCTATTATGGAAAGAAATGCGAAAAACAGTGTGGAAATTGTAGTGCAGGTCCATGTATATGGTACAATGGGAACTGTAATGGTGACTGTTACAGAGGGTATCATGGAACAAAGTGTGACATGAAATGTAGTGCTAACTGTGTCAACGGAGAGTGCAGAAAAACAGATGGGTACTGTATTGGGTGTAAAGGCGACTTTTATGGTTACTTTTGTAACATTCCATGTAGTCCAAACTGCAAACAAATTGCCTGTTACCGCAATAATGGAACTTGTATTGGTGGATGCAAAGACAACTGGGATGGAAATGAATGCAATGGTAGTACTATTCCTCAAAGTCAGTTTGTATATATTTTACTTCGAATACACACTTTTATCATTCAGTGTGGCGCAAATACATGCACTTTAATAGTTAGAGTATTCTCAGCAGCGATCATTGTTCTTTTACAATGTACATATATTTCCTGAACTGGACTGCATTAAAAGAATGTTAACATTCAAATGTTAGAGCGAGGTGAACTAATTTTGACCAAACAAATTCTAGGTCATTTTGCTTCTCAACATAGCAATTAATACAGCAGCCCGTTCGTATAACAAATGCAATTTAACTCGAAATGTATTCGTCTCAAATGTAAATATAAGTGAAAAACAACAATATAAAATAGTTCACTGGGTAATGAAGTTTTACCAATTAAGAGTTAATTTCCCATAGAAGTTTTTAATATTGTTGTTTATACCTTTTTAATTTTCGTGGTGCACAGTATTCGAAGTTTAATTGAGACGTTAAGAAAAAAATTCAGAAGGGACAAAAATGAAAATTAACGACATGATGATGTGTAAATATCAACTTGAAATTCAATTCATTTACGTTTACACATTGATAAATTTTGAAAAAAAGAACATTTAATCCTATAGTAAACGAATTTTGACTGTTATTTTCGTGCTACATCCATTATGACGTCATAATTGAAATAAGCTTATAATTTTTCCCATTGTTTATACAAAATGTAGCTATGTAGAAAGTTATATAGAAAATGGAGCATCTTTATTGCATGTAGATTCAATTTATTACCATGTTAAAATTAATCCCGATCAATATATATTCATTTTAATCCTCCTTCGGTCCTTAACATAGATGAAGAAGGTCCGTTAATATTTCGACATTGTGAAAATGAATTGGAACACTTTAGGAAACCAACCAAAAACTTTTTATTTGCATAATGTTTTCTTTAATATGGCATGATCTTATATAGTTATAATGGTTATGTAATATGAATAATAAAACGTATTGATAGGACTGTCTGATAAAATTCTTGCATTTTTTGCCAGGATGTGATGACACACATTATGGGACTAATTGCCTCAAGGAGTGTAGTGTCCATTGCATTAGACAAAAATGCGTCGGTGGCGTGTGTTCTTTTGGATGTAATGAAGGATATTTTGGAGAAAATTGTAACAAATCTTGTCACCTATCGTGTCCATCAGGTTGTCATAAAGACGATGGTAGTTGTGAGGGTGCCTGTGAAATTGGTAAATTTGGTAAAATGTGTGAAAAAGAATGTAATTTAACATGTAAAAATGGATGCATGAAAGACAGTGGTTCGTGCAACAGTTGTTACGACGGAAAATTTGGAGCTACTTGTCAGAGTGATTGTGGTACTGGCTGCATATCTAATTGTGATCAAAAGTATGGAAACTGTGCATGCAAACGAGGATGGCAAGGAAATACTTGCGATGGTAAGGGTACCAATCTTTTTTTTTTTTTTTTTTTTTGGTGTACTATTTTTTCATATGGTAGAAGTTTTACATGGTCAATAAATATTTTAAAAAATATATTAGAAAAATTTTAACACACTTATTATCATTCAAGATTTATTGAATAAAAGTCAAAATCTGCGATACTTTATTGCATTGCGAAGATATACATATAACATTTATATTTTGAATTTCTTCAAATGAAACGATATTGTCTGGTGGTAATTAAATCCTTATAACTTATTTTTCTAAATAAAATGACAAGAAAAAGAAAAAGAAAAATAGTTTCCCTTAAGTTTCTCTATGAATTGTTTCTTTTGTGAACAAAAAAAGAGTTATTGAGAAAATTGACTCAGCACAGGTATTCTGAATTCGATATTCAAAATATTACTACGCCTTTGCATGTTAATTTATAGGCTGTAGTTCTTTAAAATTAGCAAAAATCAAATAGAATAAAATTACATGTAGCTAAACACTAAATAGAAAAATGAAACTTCAAAAAGACGATACTTTTAAACTGAAATTTATAGGATTCTATTAGAGATAAGCACATGTTTGTTTGTCATTACTCTAATAAAATATTTTATATTCATCTTATTACCAAATCGTAACATCTTTTTTTTCAAAAGTAGCATTTGTTTGAATATTTATTTATGTTTCACTTTTTCAGAAATTAAATTTATAACCCCAAGATACTGTAATCTGTAAAAATTTTACACATATACCTCTATATTTATGGGTTTAAGGAAATTATTAATAATTTCTTTTTTAAACAAGAATGTAGCCCATATTTTCATGGTGATTTTTGTGAAAATGAATGCAGCCCATACTGTGAAAACGGAACCTGTTTCTCTAATAATGGTTCGTGTATAGGTGGATGCAATGGTGATTTTACAGACGAGCAATGCAAACAAGGTACAATTTTTAATTACATGTAACTTTTAATTAAAGTTAAAGCAAATCTCACATTACTAATGAAACAAATATAGGTTATTATTATTATCCCCTCGAAACACATATTGGGGAAGCCTAGTAATGACACAGACATGTTAAAACAACACAGGGATCAGACTGGCGAATTTACACTTTTTTAAAAATATGTGATATATTAAATCAGAATAAATTATAGATAAAGCATTTACTAATCATAATTCATTCTATGGAACATATGGAAATAACGAACAGTATTCAAGATCAAAAGTCAATAAAATGATAAGAAATAGGAACGTTGATACTTCGACTTAAGGAAGCACTAGATCATGACTTCAATATGTTAGGTCTATAAATGCTTTGATGAAAAAGTAAAAAGTTCAACACTATACAGCTGATAACTGATTCCTATCAGTAATAGAAGTTAATATGTAAAATAATCCCTGGACCATGAAAAGTGCCTATAGAATCCTTCACTTCTACCACAGAAACAATTATTCAACTCTTTTGCATGAAACTATATCAAAATGAATGTTCTTTATACATAAGACCGATGAAATGGCATCAATTCCTGTTTACCCCACGATTCTAACATAACTTTCCAAAAACTAGTAGTGTTGAACTTTTGCACCTTTATTGTTACAAACGACGAACGGCTGATCTAGATGTCAAACGCACTCACTCTACCTTCATTAAGAAAATGTAAACGCACTCACTCTAGTCTACCTTCATTAAGAAATTATAAAAAAAAAATATAAATATAAATCGGCGTACTTTATTCATAAGCTTTCATTCCGCATAAACACAGGGAATTCATGTTAAATGTTATTAAACTCTGATTTCATATGTTAGTTGATATGGATTCTAATTAAGTTTCACTTTTATTCTGCAGATATGATTATCAATAGTATTGACGTCAAATGTTTGATATTCAACCACCGTTATATAGATCTAGGTTTCTTAATACATGTACCACCCAGAAACGACACAAGTTTGCTTATATTAAGTTATTGATTGTATATTGTTTAACGTCACTCTCGAGATTTTTTCACTCATATGCAGACGTCATCATATGCCGATGAAGAGCCCTGAAATCAATATTTATTTATTTATTCAAAGAAATCGTTTAATTTTAAGTTCAGGTAATATATCTAAATATGGCGTCATATTGTATATCTAAGTAGTATATCCTAGCTGTATCTTTAACACTCCCACAGAGCTTGATTATTTGTGTGTTAGCTTGTCCTTATGCGAAATTACAAGCATTTTATATCGTATCGACATAAAAATGGAAATAACCATTAACAATACGGTTTCGAAATATCTAAATTTCTACAGCCACAGTAAGTGCTTCCTTCTTTTCAATTATAATATTTTGGACAAATTCTATCTCTTTTGAATACAAAAATGGGCCTGCAAACACTGGGACGAAATGAGTACCCAAGAGATTTCCAGTAGATTTTTGACAAACAATCAGAAACTCAAGCGTCTTTTCAATAATACCAGTGCAGTAGTTCTGTAAACAATAAGAATTATTTTAACAAAATAATTTGTGAAAATAAAATAAGTGAGTAAATATGCTTGGTTGATTCATATTGAAAAAAAATTAAAATAATTGTATGCATGTATAACAACGTCTCAGGAAATGATATATTTTATTTCTTTTTTCAGCCTCACTACAAAGTAAGCAATCTTCGTCCTTTGTTACAGCATTAGGGGCTGGACTAGGATCGGGTTTATTTATGCTGGTTGCAATAATCCTGGCAGGCATTTTCCTTCTTAGGTAGGTCTGGAAAATGTAATAAAGAAACTCCTTTTGCTTTTTGCAAGTTTCGTTTAGAAGGTATTTTTTTACTATCACTATCGCTTTGCAGAAATAAAAGAAGAAAACAATCTGAATCCCAGACAACTTCAGTCCTCTTTCGAAAAGAAAATGTTGCCTCCGGTAAATCCAAAGTATTAATAATAATATATTTTGGACAAGATAAACTATGAAGTAGATCACATATGAGCTATTTTTTTTATTCTAAAAGTAATGTTGAATCTGCAAGTAATGAGATTTGCAGCGACATATGTGTAAGGTGAAATAGAGGAAAATATTTGTTATATATGCAAAATGCTTGTTATTCACTGAAACCATTCATCAATTGAACTCATTGACAAACGTACTTATTTATGTGCATAAATTCAGCATGTTCATTTTTACTTAGCTGAAAATAAGCTATACACAAACATAGCAAGTGTTTCCGTTCAAATTGAGGATCCCGAAGAAGAACCACAAATAGAGAACCCTGAGGAGGCAGTGTATTATAATGATCTGTCAGTGGCTAAGGATATCGCTGTCTCAGACCTACTGAATGTAATCACACAAAAGAAGGCCAAGGAGAACGAGGGGTTCCAAAAGGAATTCAAGGTGTCCACATTCTTTCTTTCATTCAGTGGCCATTTTATAGTTAATATAGACAATATAATTTATATATGTTAGAAGAAATTCTAATAAAGTTGAACACCATTAGAAAGATATAATTCAATTTCAAAAGTCAAAGCATTGGTGCTTTCTTAGAAAGTTTAAAAAAAATTGAGACCTATTGTATGTAATTCGCATTCTTTTGGCTTTGGCGTACATGTATATAATGATGAGCTAATTGATAAACACCTCTAAGAAATCATTTAAAATACAATATACAGTCCCGATCTGTTAGCTCTAATTCATGAATACGCCAACATCTCTATATCCATTGATTATGCTAAATTTTGAATGTTCTTAATTATTATATATATGTATATTGTTTATTCATATATGTTTCCACAAAAATATGTTTATGAATATTCTTTTGCATTTAATCCTTTAAATAACAGACAAATATTTTTTTTCTTCATGAAGTCGCTTCCTTATGGAGAAAGATTTGCCTGTGAAACCGCCAAAACGGAAGAGAACATGCTAAGAAACAGATTTAAAACCACATTTCCATGTAAAATTATAATTTCTTATTACTTTGTTATAAAGAAAGCTATATACAAATGTGTGAAATTTTACATTTATGAAGTCGCCTCTATTAAAAAACCAAAAAAAAAATTA